TTTCCTATATCAACTTTAGAGTTTGTGATCTGATATTAAGATCCTTGATCCATTTTGAGTTAATCTTGGTATAGGGTGATATACATGGATCTAGTTTCAGTTTTTTGCAGACTGCTAACCAGTTTTCCCAGCAGTTTTTGTTGAAGAGGCTGCTTTTTCTCCATCGTATATTTTTAGCTCCTTTGTCAAAGACAAGTTGGTTATAGTTGTGTGGCTTCATATCTGGGTCCTCTATTCTGCTCCACTGGCCTTCATGTCTGTTTTTGTGCCAGTACCATGCTGTTTTTATTGTTATTGCTTTGTAATATAGTTTGAAGTTGGGTATTGTGATACCTGCAGCATTGTTCTTTTGACTGAGTATTGCCTTGGCTATTCGTGGCTTCCTATGTTTCCATATAAATTTTACGGTAGATTTTTTGATCTCTTTAATGAATGTCATTGGGATTTTGATGGGAATTGCATTAAACATGTAGATTACTTTTGGGAGTATAGACATTTTTACTATGTTGATTCTACCAATCCATGAGCATGGGAGATCTCTCCACTTTCTATAGTCTTCCTCAATCTCTTTCTTCAGAAGTGTATAGTTTTCCTTGTAGAGGTCGTTCACATCCTTTGTTAGGTTTACACCTAACAAAACACATATGTGTACACAATGTATACAAACATATATGTGTGTATAACCCTCTTTTTATTTTATAAGTTAAGATGGAAAATTAGTACAAGGGTGTAGCTCAAGTGGTAGAGCACCTGCCTAGCAAGTGCAAGGCCCTGAGTTCAACCACTGCTCCCCCCACCCCAGCCCTGCAAAAAAACAAAGACAAACATTTCATGAATGAACTTTACATTTTACAGTAGTTTAATATTTGCAGGAAAGTGCAGAAAGCTTCCACAGCACCCCGTCCCCAGTTTCTCCTGTCACTAGCTTCTTGCAGTGGTATGGAGTGTTTGTTAGAATCAATGAGCCAATGTTTGACATTACTTATAACTAAGCCCATGGCTTACCTTAGGGGTCATGCCTGGTGTTACCCATTCTATGTGCTTAGATAAATGTCTCACCATCCCAGTACCATACAGAATGGCTTCGCTGCCCTAAAAGTCCTCTGTACTCTACCTGTGCATCCCTGCCTCCCTGGCAACCTCGGCCTTTTTGCTGTGTCCACAGTTGTGCCTTTTCCAGTGTCACAGAGGTGGAGTCCTGCACTGCACAGCCTCTCAGACTGGCTTCTTACACTTAGCAACATACGTTTTAGGCTGCCCAGTGTCCTTTTGCCTCTGTTTGACACTAGCATATCACACGTCACGATTTAGACATTCACCTCCAGGAGGACTTCTTGTTGCTTCCATGTTTTGACAGTCATGAAAGCGGCTGCTGTGCACACGCATCTGGAGGTTTTGTGTGTATAGACATTTTCAACTCATTTGGGAGGGCGATTGCTGGATTGTGTGGGAAGGGCACTAAGTTTTGTTTAGTGGGAAGGGAATGTGGGCTACTTCCAAGATCCCACAATGAGAGAGAGAGAGAGAGAGAGAGAGAGAGAGAGAGAGAGAAGTGTTTTTAGAAGTAAAATTGATAAAGACTTCTTGTAAAATTTTAAGAAGCACTAAGGTCTATGAAATAGTCATTAAAAAATCTTTCCTCACCCGGACTCTGCTCTCTGGTCTCATTCCATAGAGAGACGACAAAAATTATGGAGAAACTACAGCATTCATTCCTCACTTAATATGATTGTGATTAATATAATATGATTATTTATATAATATTATATATAATATTAGGTTCTCAGGCTTTTTGCTGGGCCAGCCTTGAACCATGCTTCTCCTACCTACACCTCCCAAGTACCTGGGATTACAGGCATGAGCCACCTTGACCAGTCTAGAGTTGTTAGAGTTTTAAATTATCTCTTGAAACCTTAACTACATTACTTTTTCCACATTTTGGGCATATCTTACTTTCTTAAAATTTATTTTTAAAATTTGCATACAGTAAAATTTACACCTTTAGTTATCTAATTCTATGAGTTTTGACAAATGCACAAATGACCACCAAGGTCAAATACAGAACTGTCTGGCATACCCACACCCATATTTTTACACTGCCCCTTGATTATTAAACTCTGCCTGCAGCCCACACGTCTCCCATCTCTACCCGTTTACCTTGTTTGGAATGTCACAGAGATGGAATCTCTTCAAGTCTGGACTTTTCACCAGTGCACCCGGCATTCACCCTTGCTTTTGTGAGCACTGAGGTCTGTCCCGTCTTGTTCTGAGTGGAGTTCCATTTGCTGAGCATACCACGGTTTCTCAACTCACGAGTCAGAGGGCTCGTGATTCTTGTCAATTTTTGGTGCCCAAGAACCATGTTATAAACAGACAGATTTTTGTGTGAACATCAGTTTTCAGTGACAATCCTAACAATGGCTTTGTTGAATCCTAAGATACATATTTGTCTAGTTTTAAAGATATTTCTAAACTATTTTTAGAGTGAATGAACTATTTTGCATTCTTACTAGAAATGTGCTAAAATTCCAGTGATCTGAGTCTTTGTCAGTGTTTGGTATGGCCAGTTATTTTTTTTTTCAGTTTTGCATCCTAATAGGTGTGTAAAAGCATCTCACTGCTGTTCTAATTTGGATTTCCCTAGTGACACATGATCAGTTATTTGGCTTTTGTATATCTTCTTTGAGGAAATATTGTTCCAATCCTTTGCCATTTTCAAATTATTTTGTTTGTTTTCTTTTCCTTGAGTTTTGAATACAGATCCCCGTGTAAGCATATAAATATTTTCTCTTAGCCTATGGCTTTGTCTTTTCATTCTTTTAATAATACTTTACACAGAATAAAAGTTTTAAGTTTTGACTTATCAATTCTTTTCTTTTAGATTATGGTCCTGGTATTTTATCTTATGTGTGGTTATGAAGATTTTATCTCATATTTTTTTGCTAGTTTTATGCTTACATTTCAGTCTGATTCAATTTATTTTTTGCCTAAATGTAAGATGTAGGTTGTTTTTATTTATTTGTAGTTTTTGCACATGGACATCCAATTGTTCTAACACTATTGGTTGAAAAGGCTACTGTTCTCCACTGAAAGGTCTTTTCATCTTTCTCAAAAATCAATTAACCAATTTGTGTGGCCTATTTCTGCACTTGTCATTCTGTTCCTACAATGCATGTGTCTTTCACCAATTCCACTCTCTTTGAATCCCTGTGTCCTTGTAATACATTTTGAAATCACATAGTATGACATCACTAACTTTGTTTTCCTTTCTCAAAATTATTCCATCCACTCAAGTCTCTTTGCCTTTCCACATAAAGTTTGAGGTCAGTTTGTTGTTATCCCCCAAAATGTCTGCTAGTCTTTTGTCTGGGCTTGCACTGAATTTATATGTCAATGTGGGAAGAACTGTCACCTTCGCAACACCAAATCTTATAATGCAGGCTGTCTTTCCATTCAACTGGGTCTTTTTTTTATTTTGTGTATTAATGTTTTACAGTTTTTAGTAAACATCTGCACATATTTTAGCTTTGTAAGTGGTACTGGTCTTAGAACTTCAATTTCCAGTCATTCATTGCTGGCTCATACAAACATAATTGACTTTTCTATATTAAATTTGTTTCTTTCCTCTTTTTTGTTATCGTATTATTGTTGTACTGGGGGTGCCTTGTGACACTTACAAACGTTCTTACAATCATAGTTGAATTTGCCCCTCCATCATTCTCCTTTATGTTTATAATAACTTTGTGTCTTGTTTAATTGCTCACATTGATTTTCAAATGTTGATTTTGTGTTACATGTTCTGGAAAACCCCATTTGTCATGATGTACTAACCATTTTATATATTGCTACTTACTAGCATTTTGTTGAGGATTTTTGAGTCTAGATTTATGATGGATAACTGTTCTTGGCTTTCTTCTTTTTTCTGGCTTAGCTTTTGGGTAACGTTAGTTTCATATTATAAGTTGGGATATTTTCCTTCCTTTTTTATTTCTGGAAGAGATCATGTTGGATCTGTTACTTCTTCCTCTAGATTTTGCTAGAATTTTGAAGAACTAATTCCACTTCTTTAATAGATGCAGCGCCATTTGGGTCATCTATTTCTTCTTGAGAAAGTTGTGGTAGTTTTTTTCTCTCAAGAGTTTGGCCCATTTCGCTGAAGTTCTTAAATACCCCAGCGTGGACTGTTCCTGCTGTTTCTTTCCTATGTCTGTAGGAATATCCCTTCTTTCATGCCTGATACTGAAAATCTCCCCCACCACTTCTCTCTCTCCCTGCCATCTTCCCCCTTATCAGTCTTTCAAGAGATTGTCTGTTTTGTTCATTTCAAAGGATCAACTTCCAGTTCCATGACTTCATTGCTTTGCTGATTACTTTTTCTTCATTTTATGTCCTTATTTCTTTCTTTCAGTTTGTTTTGTGTTTAATTTACTTCCTTGTTAAAGTTTTCTCAAGATAGAAGTTTAGATTATTGATCTGAGGCCTTGGGGAAGGAAGGACTTTTCAGTGGTGTGTTTTAGAATGCCTGACCACATGTAACAATAAGGGCGGTGGCCCTCTAAGAACCTGACCTGTGGCAATGGCAATGGCTGTGCTGGTTCTTCTGACGATTCACTCTCCCAAAGCCATTCAGTGCCTGCGATCTGGGAGGGTTCACCAATATTCTTTAGTGTCTTCATTTCTTATGACAGTACCACTAGGTTGTAGAACCCTACAAAGCTCATGAGCAACCTGCCTGTTTGCCCAGGTGGAGAAGTCACTATGTGAACCTAACAGGAGCTGATGAATGTTTCCAGGTCAGAGCATTGATTTGTTCTACATGTTTAGTTAGCACCTAGCCTATGCCATTGTGATGCTTGGTCCCCAGGGTTACACAGTATCTGACAGGGATGTCATTCCTGCCCTGGGGAGACAGTGCTAAACGCACAATTGTGTTAACACTTATCTGGTTAGTGTCACAAGTATATGAGGCTGCAATATTGATACAGTTCTCTACTTCGTAGGTTTATTTTGATGTTGTGGATCACATGACGGAAAATTGTGGATGATTCTTTGATTTTCAACATTAGGATCAATGATGTGAGTGACCACACACCCGTTTCCCAAGAGGGAATTTAACATCAGTGTGAAAGAGAACCAAGAAGCAGGCAAGTGCAGCCAGGGCCAAGGGCCTTCCTCCCCTCCCAAGTCTGCTGCATAAACATGGGCCTCTTGGCCTACTCAGGGAGACATTGTACTGTTCACATCTTAAAGGTCGCAGGCCCTGGATCAGAGTGAATGCTTTATGGTCTGTAATCCTCATTTTGTATGGGCAATGGGATGGTGTGGAAATCATGCCTGTCGGCAGAACTGGTGTGCAAATGCCTATCTAACAACAAAGCCACATGCAGCGAGGAGAGAGACAGGGCTGGGAGGGAGGTCCTGAATATCTTTGCAAATTTCTCCTCTGCAGAAGGGCAGTAAGGTGCCATCTGAAGTCTGGGAGTTAAAGCCATGACAAATCTTTAAGGCTAAGCTATGCTTACCAGCAAATGGACCTATTTTATTAATAAAAAAGCATTATTTATTTTGTGTGTGAAATTGTCCTCAGGAAATTTGGAAAATTCCAAGAAATGAAAAGATGGAAGTAGGAAGCACCTCTGATACACCAATCAGATGAGTGCTATAAAGTTTAGCTTACATTCTTTCAATAACTTTCTTGCATTTTCTGTGTGTCTGTACACAATTTGCATGACATATTTGCATATTTTTATATATAAGTACAAATGCATATTCATACATACATAAATTTCTCCTGTCTGACAGTACAAATGTATACGTGCTTATATTAATATTTAAATATTTGCCGATGCTGGGTGCTTTTTTATATGTGTGAGCTCAGAGGTCCCTCTTTTAGCAATGCTGTTTTACTGTTTGAAACCCAACAATATTCTCTGGTTGCATCTTGTTGTACAATGTCTATTTTTAGGGATAAACTTTCGGTATTTAACCAGTCCCCTATTGTTGAGCATCTAGGTTTTGTTGCCTCTTTTTGGTTGTTTTTGTTAAACACATTTCAGTGAACATATCTGAGCTACATCTGAGTCCCCAAATACCTCATTATTCACTTGGCATGAAGTCGGGAAGGGAGACTTCAGACGGCCCAGAGAGCCTTGGGTGCTATAGCACTGGCCGCCAGCCGGGGTGCCCAGTGTACTGCTCATATTTGGTTAGTACGTGCTTGAGCATTTTATTTCATTTTTTGTTTTTTGGCAGCACCGGGGTTTGAACTCCGGGCCTCACGCTTGCTAGGCAGGTGCTCTCACCCCTTGAGCCACTCCGCCAACCTGTGCTTGAGCATTTTGAGATGTTTCTTAGCCATTTCTATTTTTTCTCAGTTGCTTGCTCTTGTCTTGTGTCAGTTTTTCTGCTTGTGTTTGTCATTTTTCTTTTAGATCTATGTTCTATGTTCAGGGCATCTATCTGCTGTTTATATTCCAAATGTGTTTTCTAGTTTATCATTTCCTTTTAAATTTTGTCTCTGGGTTTTTTTTTTTTTTTGTCCTACATTTAAAAATGTAATCTGAGCTGTCAATTTGTCCTTTGAATCTTCAGCATTGACAATCGTGAGAAGAAAGCTCTTTTAGCTTCATAGCTATTTAAAAATTGTTATTTTGCCTGGTTATCTATGGTCTGATTTTTTTTTTTTCAGTGCTGAGGATTGACTTCAGGGATTCATGCATGCTAGGCCAGGGCTTTATCACTGGGCTATATCCCCAGCGCCTTTGTTATTTTTTTAAATAGTTCATTCATTCTGGGATGTGGCCCAAGGTCAGTTAGCCAAAGACCTGTTGTCTTCCTGCCTTGAACCAATGATAACATTTTTAAAAACTTCTTCCTAGGTCTAGCTATTTTTCAGATGCTGACATTTGATTATGATGAAGAGAACACTCCAAACTCCCAAGTTCTTTATTTCCTCATTTCTCAAACACCATTATTGAAGGAAAGTGACTTCTGGGTTGATCAGATGAGTGGAGAAATCCTACTTTCAGGATGCTTAGACTATAAGGTTACATAGGTTTTTTTATTTTAAAAAATTGAAGTGTGTCGCTTATCTCTGAGCCCCAGCCTTGGGGTCCGCGTTTGTAGTAGGGAGCCTAGCTTTGCTACCAAAATTGTTAAAAGAAGTATTTCTTTATTAATATTTCTCTTTCCTCTGCTTGCAGCCGATATCCTCCCTTTTCCTTGCCACTAGACTGGTTCTTGGTTTTCACTCCTGACCGGAGCCAGGGATTGTGCGGAGCCCTCATTGTCATCCACGGCCACAGGTAATGTCCACGTGCAAGGGGATGACAACTACATACGAATGTTCACTCAGGATGATGTAAGGCACTGGCGCTGCCTGAATTCTGAGTCCCTACCACTGACGCTCAGCTTTGCTGGGGTGTCCCCAAGCAAAGGACCTTAAGCTAGAACCAGGAAATATAACCATAGTGTAGAGAATCACTTATACTAGTCACACTTTTGGGAGTTTATGCCAGAAAGGTGCTCTGAAAACTGACATGCAGGCTTCATCTTAATTCTTGACACTCACATTTCTATTTTAGAGATGAAGCAACCGAGGCCTGGGGAAGATAGAGGACCCCAGGTAACTTGAACTCAGGGCTCTTGACTCTACACTGTAGACACTTGGGGTTAGAACATTCTTTGCTATGGGATGCCCAGTGTGTTCACCAGCAACCTTGGCCATGCTAGATGCCTCCCAGTTGTGACAACCCCAAATGTCTCCAGATGTTATCAAATGTTCCCTGGGGGCATTTCTCTGGCTGAGAAGTTTAGACCTGCGGTTTTCACACTGTGGCCTGGATGGAGAAGGCCTTGCTTCCTCAGTTCCCCTGGATGCCTTAAAAAGGCCCAGAAACCTCCATATGCAGGGCATGGTGGTGCAGACCTGTGGTCCCAGCACTTAGGAAGTTGAAGCAAGAGGATTGGGAGCTCAAGGCCAGCCAGGGTTGCATAGTGAGAGCTTGTCTCAAGAGACAAAAAACAAAACAGAACAAAAAAGGAAAAAGGTGATTTGGAGGTATCCCACCACTTGAGGTGTGCAAGATTGCAAAGAGACAAAATAAGGGCTACTCAGAATCTGTTTCCCTTTTTTTTTTTTTTAGAAATACTAGAGGTATTCATGAGTCACACCCCCAGTCCTTTCTGGCATTAGTTATTTTCCGGACAGGGTCTTGCCTTTTTGCCTGGGGCCGTGAACCTCCTACCTATGCCTCCCACATATCTGGGATTATAGAAGTACGACCCCATGCCCAGTTTATTTGTTGAGGTGGGGGGAGGTCTCTGTTAATGTTTTGCTTGGGCTGACCTCAAACCACCATCCTAGAGATACACACCTCACAAAGTTAGCTGGGATTGCAGGGGTGATTCACCATGCTTGGACTCCTAATTTGGAATTTCTACCATTCCCATTCATATTTTTAAGAAGTGAATATCCATGACATGCTTCTCTCTCTGGCTTCTCTTGATAACCCAATCACAAGCTCACATCCTTCCCCGGCTTCTAGGCCCCCTGTTCTTCCTTTTTCACAGTGCTCTATTTAATTAATTTGTTCACTTTCTCCATTGTCTGAACTCCCCCCTCCCCATACACTCAACCATCAGCTTTGCTGGGACCTAAAACAGAGCTGGCTCATAGAACCTACTATTGCATAACTGATGCATGCAAATGTTTTTTTAAAGTTGTCATTAAAATTTTAATTATATAAACCAAAGTGAAATGACTTCAAATGAAAGCATCTTACCAAAAAAGTATATAAAAAAACTGCAAAATAATATTACAATTGAACCTTGCCTCGCAATCCTTCCCTGGTTAAGAAAAAAGCTGTGCTCTTGAAAGTAAGCCTGGAGAAAATATCCTGCTACTTTGATGGCGTTGTCGAGAGACACTATCTCCAAAAATGCTGAATAACGAGCTATTTCAAAGATCCACATGTGCTCGAAGATGATGACTTTGATCTGAGTAACCACAAGTGCCATATTATTTCAGGAGAAGTGCTAGGATTTTTATACTGAGATGTATATTATTATTTAAAAAATTCTCAGCTAAATGGTACATTGAATCGGGTTGCAGAGTACTTTTGAAAGTATTCACCTGTGGGAATCAAATCACAGGCAGAAAGGCCACGATGGTGCTCATTTATTGATTCTTCTACAGACAAGAGTTTCAAAAAAGCCATAAGGTCAGGTTCAAGAGCAGGGCCTTGTGCTAAGCACCTGTTTTCTTTCTCGCCTTCCTTCATTCCCTCCCTTCCCTCTTTTTTGGTTCCGTTTCTCTGTCTCCATGACATGGAAATGCTGATTGTGACTTTCAGTATAAGATTCAGATTTCTGAAGGTCAAGTTGACCAGGACATGTTGCACCTCCCAGTTCGAGATCAAGATTCGCCATTTATATCAGCTTGGAGAGCAAAATTTGACACAGTGGATGGCAGCGAGGAGGGACATTTTGCCATTTTGACTGACCCTGAGACCAACAAAGGGATTCTGAGAGTCATCAAAGTAAAGCCCTCCTGAAGATGTAGAGGTTTCCTTAAAAAATTGTTTATCTGGGCACCCGTGGCTCTCACCTGTAATCCTAGTTACTTGGGAGGCTGAGTTTGGGAAGATTGAGGTTTGAGGCCAGCCTGGGCAAATAGTTCCTGAGACCCCATCTCCAAAATAACCAAAGACAAATGGACTGGAGATGTGGCTCAAAAGGTAGGATGCCTGCTTTGCAAGTGTAAAGCCCTAAATTCAAACCCCAGTCCCACCAAAAATATATATGTATACATTTGGTGACACTGGGGATCAAAGCCAGGGTCTCTGTCTTTGCCTGGGTGGCCTTGAGCTCTTGATCCTTCTGCATCCATCTCTCTAGTAGCTGGGATTATAGGCATGCCCCATCATGCCTGTCCTCTGAGGTTTCTCACTGTAGGATAAGTAATGATGCATGAGGAACTGATACCTGGTGAAAGTTTACCATGTCTGAGCACATCATGTGTGGTGGTGTCACCCTGAGAAGAAGGCAGGGCCCCACTACAACCTCTGTGTGTGAACCAATGGCTCCTCCCGCCAAAATAATGTCCATGTTAAATGCAAATACTGTGCACATATATATGTAAATGGAAAAATGATACCTGTTGAAACTCTTCCAGGAATGGGGGGAATGGAGGAGAATGATGGAGGGGGTGAAATCAAGTATGATATATTTAATACATTGTAAGGACATTTGTAAATGCCACAATGTACCCCCACCCGACACAACAATAAAAATAAAGAAAAAATTTAAGGAAGGAAAAAAAACATTTAAGGAAGGAAGGATATTACTAAATACTTCAACTTTTTAAATTTTAGATAACATTTAATACATTGCATAGACCTGAAAGCTTTTATTTCTTTTCTAATAAAAGATAAATAATTTGATAAAAATGAAATTTTTCTTTAAACTCAAAAGTTCTCTTTTTTTTTTTACTTCTGAGTTTTACACATTTTAAACTTTAAAAAGATAAAATTTATTTTTTTGTGGCCTCTAAAATTATGGTGAGCCTGTGGCACTGTGCCTCCCATGCCTAATGGAGAAGTTGACCCTGGAGGAAACCAAAGACCAAAAGGGTTGGGTTCTTTCCACAAAGTCACACCGCTCAAGAATGATGGAGTTGGGTTCCAACCGAGGCAGTCTAATGCCTCTAGTCTTCAGGGCTCTCAGGGAGACCCCAGAATGTCCAGCGTGGCTGTTGCAGGCTGGTGAGTCACCAGGGGCAGCAAACCTGAGTAGGTCTGGGTGAGGCCAGAGATTCCGCCTCTCAGTTTAACAAGCTCTCAGGTGTTGTCGGTGGCCCAGGGTCCATGCTGTGAACAGCAAGTCTCTGTCAGCTCTTTACATCAGATACTTGCAGTTGGATTTTCCAAATATCTCCAGCCTTTGATTCTTTGAAGTCACTGGCCGCTTTGTACCCTGAATAACTATGATCATTAGTGTCTATATTTCCCAAAGTTCCCTTATTTTTTTCAGTGCGGCTGTCACATTAATGTTTCATTAAGTTATGGTTTTGTTGCATTTTTCATTACCTTCTGATGGATGGTGGCTCTTTCAACCAAGAGAGGAGGAGGGGAAAAACAGAACTCAGTAAGTGATTTGAAAATGAGCTGAAGACTGTCTTTTGATCATTATCAAAGACAATTTAAATAATGAATGAAGTGCAAAAGCCATGGGCTCTGAGCCTCCCGAGCCAGAGGAGCAGCAGGTGCTAACGCAACCTCTCTGGCTTTGCGGCCACTGGATTATGAAGCTCAGGCAGCTCACAGCCTTGTCATTGGCGTGGAAAACCTGGAGCCACCCTTCTCCTGCAAGGGTGGGCAGCTACAGACATCAAGGATGGCAGTGGCCAGCACCATGGTGAGCATGCAGGTAGTGGATGCCAATGAGCCATCTCCCTTTCACTCCAGGAGTTTCATTGTCAGTGACGAGGATGCCACCAGGCCTGGAATCCAGCTGAGCACGTTCAATGCTACTGATCCAGACAGAACTGCAAGCCAGATAAGGTGGGATCAAAGGAGCAGGAGAGGGGCAGATTCTTGTCACCCACAAGGACTCCCGTTGGCCAGCTCACTCCTGGGAAGTGTTCCTGAGATTGGCTCAAGGACTCAGTGACAAAAATACAAGAAGCCACCCTGGGAATGCTCATTGGCTCCATCATCCACTTTCCTCTTTCTGCATCTTCCTCTGTCCACACCTGGAGAACTTACCTGCTCCTTTCCCTTTGCATTTTTACAATCTTTTTTGAATAAAAATAATTTTTATATGTTTGGATGTCCCTCTTTACCAGAGGTTGTAAATTAGCAACACTCTTGCTTCTGGACAAAAGGTTTCTGTCCTTTTTTAAATTTTGGCAAGTTGTGTATATGATATACCATTTTAGCCATTTTCAGGGTACAGTTGGTGGCATTAGACAGACTCACGTGGTTGTGCAGACATCACCAGCATCGACCTCCAGAACTTCTTTCATCTTCCCAGACCCAACTCAATCCATTAAAAACTCACTCCCATCTCCCCTTTCCCCAGGTCCTGGCACCCACCATCCTACTATCTGTCCTATGAGTTTGATCCTTTAGGTATCACTCATATGGGTGGACTCCTATAGCATTTGTCTGTAAGAGACTGGATTATTTCACTTAGCATAATGTCTTCAAAGTCTGTGTTTAACATGTATCAGAAAATCCTTCCTTTGTAAGACTGAATATCCACACACCGCGTGTGCTTTCTACAGCTTTCTTGATCCATCCATCTATCCATGTGCACTTGGGTTGCTTAGTGTTTTATTTTTTAAAGTAGAGTTGCCAGACTTTCAAAATCAAGATACTATGAATAACAACTTGAATGTTCTAGACGTTCTTGAAAAAAAATGGGAAGATTTGCCATCATTGGATCTGTGTTCCACGAGGCCACAAGCATCAAGGCAGAGTGGAAGAGGGGTTTGTGCTTCTTGCCACTTCTCAAGGCCAAGTTCAGCTGTTGGTCCTAGATCCAGTCACACAACTTCACCCATTTCTGTTATTTGTTTGATACCTGTTTGCCATTTTCCTTAGAGCCCTGCCTCTTAGTCTACCTGTTGGGAAGGTTATCATTAAAAAATTTCCAATTTGTCATGGAGAGATATTCTGTAAATGTAATAAAAAATGAACTAGTGAACAATACTCATGTATGAGGGAGATGCATTGGTATCAACAACCCTCAGAATTTCTCAACGTGTGTCCCCAGTCTTCATAGTGACCCCCTGGTGAGCAGTAACCAAGCGTTCACAGGTTGTGCCATCAGCACTGGTGCGTGCTGGGCTCAAAGAAAGCAGATTGCTGGGTCCCCCTCCTAGAATTTCTGAGAGGTCTGGGGTGAGGAGTGAGATTTGCATTTCTAGTAAGATCCCCAGGGATGCTGATGCTTCTGGTCAAGGGAACCTCCTTTTGGGGACCACTGACCTAAACAGAGCCCATATCTTCCTCTTAGTCATTTTCCTGTCTGCCAAGGATGGTTGGCTCACATAGATTTCAGTAAGAATGAATCAGTCCATAAGCAGTTGCCTCCGATACTGCTTTTCCAAGCACTGTCTTTCATGATAGGGTGGAGGTGAGATCTGGTGAGCAGATTGGGTGTGGTTTTGTTCTGGGTCATCTGCATTAGATATGTTTACTTGCTTTCCATGTCCCAACTTGCCCCAAAGGCTCTTTTCCCCTGAGATGGTCTGCAGATGAATCTGAGTTTCTACACTTTGTTTGCAAACACTTCAAAACCACAGGAACTTTCCCAAAGTCATGAAGTAGTGTGTGGAGAAGCTTTGATCCCTTTAAAAATGATGACCCATCTAATATTGGAGAGGGATAGCTGGAGAGAAAGAGAAAGCATAAGAGAAGCTTACAGTTCACCTCTTTAGGGTCCACATTTTTTCTCTTTCGTCTGACCGCAGGAGGTCCCTATTAAAGGTCTTTTGAAGGCAAGGTTGTTGGCAACCTGACGTGGTTCCAATGAATGCCACTAATGACAATGTCATAGAAGATGACAGTTTTGCTGGACTCGATTACTCCAGGGGGAGTGGAGCTTTATGCTTCTTCCACCAGGGAAGGTTGGTGTTTAAGATGAAGTCCTCAGCACCCACCAGCCACTGGACACTGGCCCTGTTCCAGGATGAAATTTTCCCCAAGGCAGGCAGTTATGTGCAACACCACCAGGAGGAAGACGCTAGAATTCCAGTGAGTGTGGGTGGGGCTCACTAAGCGTCTTCACACCACATCCTGGTGTCTTCTTTAGATCTGTGAGCATGCTTACAGTTTCATCTCTCATCGAATTCCCAAATGATTTGTTACTGGAATCGTACTTCTCGATGTACAAGTTTGCAAGTTTAGATTTGTCTTTTGATACGGTGTTTCTCTTCTACAAATACAAACTGGTTCGTGATCCAGCAAATTGGGTCACTGTGGATGAAAAGTCAGGAGTGGTTACCACCAGGAAGCAAATTGATTGAGAGTCCCTGCATGTAGATGACAGCTTTTATACAATCATCACCCATACCATCGACAGCGGTAAGTATTTACCCAAAAGTGGAAAAAACAAAACAAAACAGAACAAAAAAGAGGTTGTTCTGGCTTCCCGAGGGAAAGAGTTTTCAGCACAATGAAGAAAATGCTGAAATAAAACCTTTCTTTCACTTTGCACCCATGTTGGTGCCAATAATCTTGAAATGGCAAACTAGGGACCAATACCACTGGAAGAGGGGCAGGATTCATTCAGAAAGACAACCGAACCAGCGAGGAAGCTGCCATCAAACCCATTCTTTTCACCCAAGACAGTGCTGTAGCTTTGTGAAAGCCAATGGCATGTGATAAATGTTTAGCAGTTTCCTGAGCTTGGAATGGCATATAAATCCAGCAAATGTGACTATATGGAGCATATTCAGGAACCAAGAGGGGTGGCTTTATTTATAAATGTGTTTTAGCTCATTTCTCTACAATCTCCTGAGGTTGAATTTTTAAGTACATGAGACATGAAGCTGAATAAGTAAACCATCTCAAATAGCGTTAAGAATTATATTTAAGGAAGACTGCGAACTAAAACCCAGGTTCCAAGAGACGCCTAACTTCCCATCCCACTTGTGTAGCTAACTAGTAGGATGGTGCTTATGAAGATGAGTCACAGTCCTAATCAGTGTTCAGTGAGGAGAGAGGGAGCGGCCAGTGTTCCAGGGTTCCACGATTCAGTTATGGATGGTTTCATGATTGGCATTTATTTTTAATTAGAAAAATAGATTTTTAGTAAAAATAATATAGTGCATTCTGAGTACCCTTTGCCCAGTTCCCCCAGTATAAAACTTTGAAAAAGTATAGTACAATATCACAACCAGGGTATCGCTGGCATTTCAGGCTAGAACAGAACATTTCTGTCCCCAGGGGAACCCTCATCCCCCCCAACACTCGGCATGATTGACAGATTAATTTATTTAATGATTCTACATTCTGACTTGAGATGGAAAGTGTTTTGTTACCTTACCCAGATAGCCTGAATTTTCAAAGAAATAAGAAAACAGATCAAGTGCTGGCCTGGAAAGTATATAGCTTTGGAAGAAATGGTTTCTTGAGAGAATAGTTGTGCTCTCTTCCCAGGTCTCTGCAAACCGGCATGCACCTTTAAGTAACAGTCAACCCATCCTGGGATTCTCTCTCTTTACAAGGCCTCCCACCACAAATGAGGACAGGGATGGTGATGCTTTTCCTCTCTGACATCAACGACAATGCGCCAACTCTCCAGCCCCATTCTCTCTACCTGGAGGTTTGTGAGTCTGCGGGCAGCGAGCCCCCTCTCCTAGAGGCAGAGGATCCAGACCTGGAGCCCCTAACTCAGACCCTTTCACATCATGGGAAAAGGCAGAAGATGTGGAAATTGGGGGGAAATCGAGGTGAGTTTTGGTATGAGACAGGGATAAAAGGTTGAAAATAACAGAGACCAAATCAAATAGACTTAGACCAAAAAAAGGGGAGGCGAGAGGGGAATGCATTGTCTGCGTCATTGAAAAAAGTCAGAAGATGCTCCTCAGTAGCTGCCTGTCTACTCCTTGGATCTGATATCCTGTGTTCCTTCCTTCTTAGGCATGTGCTCCTTTTTAGGGTGGCAGGATGGCTGTTGTTGTTCTTAACCTGGCAAGAAGGTACTGCCAGTGAACGCTCTAGGATTGATAGCACTGCCCCACTTTGGTTGGGTCACCTGCCTACCAATCACTATGGTGGGAGGTAGGAGGGCAGATGTGGATTGGTTGACCACACCTAGGGTCAATCATTGTGGTGGAAGTTGGGAGGGCAGATGCAAATTGGTTGGTCTGAGCCCACCCCTGGACCTTAATCTGGGGCTTAACCTTGTGCATGGACTAAGAGTCAAGAAGTGTAGGCTCCTCCAAAGTAAAATTAGAGTGCTGTAAGTAGAGGAAGAACGGAGGCAGAACAGGTTAACAGCCATGGGGACCCACTGTCAGCGTTCTCTGGAGTGTTCCTGTCCCTGGAGTCTGTAGAAGGCAACATATTCACAGTTCCCAGACTCAGAGTGAGAAGTTAAGAATTTCACTTTCTTTGGAAGAGGTCTGGTCTGTAATCTGGGTGTTTGGGAGGGAATCTCTGAGCCCTGGGGATAGCAGGGCTGAAAAAGTGTGTGTCTTTGTTCACCTGGGAGTCTTGGGCTAAACTAGGCAGGAACAATGTCATTTGGGCTGGGGACTTTAGGTCACACCATATCAAGTGATCCCTAAAGAGGCTAAAGGGGTCAGTCACTTGGGAGGCCAGCCATGCTTACTGACTGAGCTCCAGTAAGGACTCTGGTTATGCAGGCTGGGGTGAGCTTCCCTGGCTGAGCCTACTCCACGTGTGCTGTCACTCATGACTGCCCTGATGTCAAGGGAGAAGACAACAGAAAACTCCAGCTTTAGTACTTTTCTGGATTTTGCCCTGTGTGCTTTTTCTCTGGTCTGATTCTAATCTATGTCCTTGCCCTCAGTAAAGGGTAACGGTCAGTATAACAGTATGCAGAGCATTCTGTGAGTCCTTCTAGACAATTGTTCAACCACAAGGTGGTCTCAGAAACACATGAACTTGCAGTTGTCAGAAGCGAGAGAGGTCTTGGGGTACTTCCTTCTAACTTTGCAGTTGGTTCTTTTCCTGCAATACCTGGCCCAGGGGCCCCTGAGGGAGCATGCACAGAGTCCATGAGTGCCCTGTGTGATACCACCACAGGGTCCTTCTCCCTATGCAGGCTGCTCAGCTGAACTTCTCCTGCTGAGAAGCCTCCCACTTGGTAGTTATGCAATCTCACTCTTCATCGGAGATTGACAGGGACTTTCTCAGAAGAAGACTGTCCATGAGAGGATCTGTTTCTGTCCTGGTGGATTTGTGTGTGAGGAGCCCAGCTTCTGCTGGAGACTCTGCTCCCTGTCTGTGCAGCATTTGTGGCTCTGGCAGGTCAGTGATCTGTGGGGACTGTGCTGGGAACACAGCTGCTCTTCTAGGCTAGGGTGGGAGGTGGATGACACGGGACTGGTGGGATGTCTTTGAGAATGACCTCTGGGTTAGCTCAGGTCAAAGACTGGCAGACATGCTCCAAGGCTGTTCATAGCTTGGGACACATCTTTTCCTGCCTTAGCATCTTTAGTGCTCCAAGATACAGGGATCCAACAAGCACAGGTATAGATTGAAAATCTGTGAGGTGTCAGTTATATAATCCAGCTGATCCTTGCTTCATTAAGTGAGGCTAAGAATGTTCTCTCTCTTCCAGATAATTGGGCAATTTAATCAAGTAGCACATGTAAAGTCTTAGCATAAGATAGGACACAGACAGGTACACAATAAAGTATTATTAGCATGATTACCAATCACATCCATGTGATCACCGGTAGATAAGGCCATCTCAAAGTAAAGCTTGCCCATCTACCCATCTTGTACCACCATACTAGCCTGCACCCCCACATCTGTGCACTGGGGAAGATTCATCCAAAGTGCCATTGCTGGTTCCATCCCTGCTTTGCATTCTGCTGTTGTGTCATGCAGACACCTCCTGATCGAGATGACCTGTGGAATGGCATGGATGCTAGTGAGTCCTCAGTGGGCAGAAATCCCACAACCATTGTTGAATGAGGAAAGAGTGAGACAATGCACAGAATGCTGCACCATAGCGAGACCCCAAGAGCCATCACCATGAGCCTTAGGGGGTCCATGAATGTTGAGATCTGGAGTCTCCCAAATCAAGAGTCTTTTTGCTATCTCTTTACATGAAATTCTGGACCACAGGAAACTCATTCTCCCAACCAGATAACATCCCTTCTCCAGCTAAGTCATCCAGATTTTTAGGATAAATGTCTTTCTCACAGTCAGGAATGTTTTCTGCAGCAGCATTGGTATTACACATTCGGGGAAATGGCATTCCTTGTTTGCTGATTTCATGCCTGCTGTCTGGACTTCCAGACTCTGCCTTATTTCTTTCCTTGTGCTTCACAGATACAGCCAGCTGGAGAGGATCTGATGCCTGCTCTGACCTTCAGCACAGCTGTGGCCAGTGCCAAGTGGGTGTGAGATAACATACCACCTACTTGCATCTTGGTACTAAATAGAGAAGCGCCCTTTCACATCCAGGAATGCCTGGCAGCTCCTCCCCTGCCACATGCAGTGAGCATTGCCTGCAAGCTCACCTGCACCGCAGTCTCACCTGCAGAGCCCCTGGTTCCGCCCAGCCGCACACACCTTTGCCTTGAAGAGGCAGCGTTTCCTTGTTTGTGACAGTGCCAGAAGACTCAGGGCTTGCAAATTTCAGCCTGTCCTGTCCCACCTTCATGACTTTTGCCATATGTGTTTGACACTTCTACTTTGTTTAAGTGGACATGTGTCCAAATTAAGTACATTTACTTTAAGTAGGAGATTTTATGTTTCTATTGTAAATGAAAAAAGTAGGAAAACAGACAGAAAAGAATCAGAGCCCAATAATTCTAGGTAGATCATGTCGCTTGCCAAAGGCTTGGGGTGAGGCCTCTCTATGGAAAAGGGAGAGGTGTCAAAGCAATGTGAGCACCAGAGTGGCACTTTCTCCTGGATGTCGTTAGGGAATGGAAAAGGAATTAAAAAGGAATAATTTTCTCCCCATGCAATTCAATGTTATTTAAAACTGTTTCCAGACTGGCTGAATCTTCCTTTCTTTTAGGTGGTAGTCATCCCCCATTTTGGAAAAAGAAAAAGAAAGGGCCACTGTTTCCCCTCTCACTCATCATTGCTCCTTGGGGTTGCTGTCCTTCTCTCACTTCTACAATGACACCTGTGGGCTGGGGGTGGCTTTCTCCCTCCTTCCTCCTTCACTAGTCTGGAGGCTTCTAGAATCCGTAGGCATTTCCCTGATTGCACAACGACTTCCTGAGCATCCCTGGGTGTGTCCTGTCCATTCACAGCCCCAGTGAGTTTTCACTAGAACCCCACAGGGGAGAGAGGAGGAGTCTTGCTTCCCAATTTTATGGGGGAGAAAACTGAGGCCTCTGGCTTCTGTTTTTGTGTCCCTGGGTTCCTTTCCCAGTGTCCTGCATAGGAAGTCCCTCTGTGGTGACTGGTTAAATCAGATGAATGACTTTCACACACTTTCTCAAAGTTAAGTGGCCACTTAGAATTTATTGGGAAACCTGATATCTTAAAATCTGCTGCAGAGCATGAAGTACCCTAAATAAACTGTTCTCCAGGCCCATTGCCTGCTTAATTTTCTAAGTTTTACTTTATTATGAAGGGCCTAAATTAAAATGATAGAAGTCCCATGCAAAAGCTGCCTGTGATCCCTTCCTTGTATCTAAAATGTTTCTTTTGTCAGCATCACCTCCTCGATTTATGCCACATTCATAGTCATGTTTTTTGTGGTCTGTATCACTGATAGGAGCTCAGAAGTTTCATGTCAGGTCCCATCAGGCCCCAAAGCTCCATTGTGTCCCAGGCTTTTCCCACATCTCTCTCCACCTTTCCTTTCCCAACCCCTACTCCCTCTCTGTCTTGCCTTGACCAAGGTCACACAGGCTGGTCAGCTTTCTGCTGGGGAGAAATGCATTCTCTTGGAGTAAATGAGTATTTTCCTCTAGGGTCTCAAGGAAACGCTGCTATCCACAGTGAGCCCAGTGGACAGAGTAGCCTCTGCTCTGGGGACCCCAGTGAGTTACAGAAGGCTGCTCCTTGCTACAGTCACCTCATCAGTGACTGACAGCTGCTTCCCTTGAGAGAGGGCCCTTCTAGATTATGTGATGGTTTAGAACAAACACATAATGAGTGAAAATCGGAGAAGTGAGACTTTCTCCCCGGGCTTGGTATATCAACCATCTTTCTCTCTAACTAGCTATTATTGTTTTTGTTGGTGGCTGTGGTTTCAAAGTTATTATTTGATAGTCCTGATTGAATATAACACTTTTTGGAACACCCAAAAACAAGGACACTTTCTTGTGTGCATCTAAGGACACCAGAGCCAACAGTGAGGTTAAGGGCATACCACTTTGGCCATGGTCAAATTCTTGCTTAGCGATCCCACATTTCCTGCTAAACAGAGCCTGGTTTCCCTTGTACATTGTGTCTTTTTTTTTACCCTGTGCACAAATTCCAGAACCGCTCTTCTTTGCAGTGTGTTTTTCTGAAATAATTTTAGACTCACAAGAAGTTGCAGAAATAGCAGGGAGAGTTCCCACAGAGTCTCCCCAGCTCCCCAGAAGAGAATCTCACATGACCACACTGCATGATCAAAGACAGGAGAGCTTGGCTTGGGCACGGCACTATCAACACAGGTCTCGATTACAGAGCTCATTTGGACCTCACCAATTTAATGAGCTATTGATTTAACAAAAGTTTACTTTTCTGGCATACAACTAAGAGGAATTCAAAGTCCAGAGGGTCATGGTAATTTGAACAGAAGAGTTGCTAGAACAGAACTCACCATCTCTGTAATTTCATATCTTTGCTCAGGCTGTTTTGGAATAAAGACAGAAAGGTGCTGTTCCTTGCACCAAGATGATGGCACAAACCCATCAGGGAAGTTGACATGTATGTCACTCCAGTCCTGGCACAGCCAGCTTCATGGGTGTGGACACTATGAGATGATGCAGGACCCCTTGCTTGGCTCAATGTTGTTGTTACCATCTTGATTTTTGAACAAGGGCCCCACATTTTCCTTTGGCACCAAGCCCTGCATGCTGTATGGCCAGTCCTGCATCTTTGGAGTGGGTGAATGTCATTCACACATGTTGAGGTCATGGCCGTGGCACAAAGGACATCTTACTGGGTGTTTGTGGACCTCAGATGGAATCTACTATTCTCACGTCCACCTCCACAAAGCAACAGTGACACTTGTACATGGGTTTCCACTGTGGCTGTGCATTCCATTCCCACTACAATTTATTTTTAGCACTCAAATGAGAAAAGGTCTGACAGCAATCATTTCTACTTATGCATTTGCCTCCTTCCCAATTTATATGAAGCCAATAAAACTTCATCCTTCTTAAATTTTAGGGTCGTGGCATGCTCTTTGAGCCAGGAGGAGTGAGAAACAAATATTCTATTCCCGTAAGTACAGATGTGAATGGTACCATAAAAATTACCTTGCTGTTCTGCCAAATGTCCATCCAAGGCCCTGAGCAATGGAAGTTTGGAAAGGAAGAGGGAATACAAAATATACCCAACATTCAAACAAAGTAGAGGATAAGTGATTGTGGAATAGTGTGGATTTGAAGTAGGTAAAGTTCATGTATCCAGTGACTTGAAGGTCCAGGAATTTTTAGCTCTTGGTGAATTTCTTGGCAGCTGAGTGGGCACTAGCTGAGTCATAGGCCGATGTGCTTCTGCTATGAGCTTCAGACTTAGGGAAGATTTGAGCTGGGGGGCTTAGAGATCATCCCCTCCACTTCACCCTAAATAGTTTTGACAACAGAATCCTTCTTTTCAAATGAGATCATACAAAAGTCTACAGTATAAATAAAATAGTGGCTATTGTCAGCACCCATTTTTGTGCATTGATATAACATATACTTATTACCAAAATACCAAATAAAAATAGTGAATCTGCCAAAAGCAAATAAATAACAACAATGACAAAACAGAACTCGGACAATGTGGATGAAGTTTGCAGTTATGTTTTCTTAGCACCTCATTCTTTGCCTTACATTGTTGTGAATTGGCCTTTGAAGTACCAAGATTTTGATATATTCTGGCAACAGTTTCAAATATTAGCAGAATTTAAACAGTTCAATTTATCATGTTAGAATTCTCTTTGATTAATGAAACATGGGATAGAAAACTTCAAGCTTCTAAAAGCAAATTGATGTGGCATCCTGGATTAACGCTGGGGTGGGGTAGGGCTCAAAAAGAGGCAAGCCATTTCCATTATATTACAAAAAATATTAAATATTATAATTGAAATAATTTGTAAATAACTAAAATGCAATTGAAATTCTCTTGTGAAAGTATCTTTGAGCAGCTGTAGGCAGTGGGCACACAGTCTGAAGCCAGTGGCTAAGGCCAAAAAGCCCCAGAGAGGGGAGACTGCTCTCTCAATCATAGGGAGTCACATGTGGTGTGGTGGTAGGACTCTATGTTGGTTTGAAGCAAAACTGCCCAGAGCTTTCCTTGGGGAAAAGCCATGCTGGAGTCTGACCCGACACCCTTCCTCTGGTCCTGGGATGGACACGGTGTGACCCATGAGCACTTGGCAGAGACCACATTGTGAAGAGCCTATATAAGGATCTTACTGGGAGAAGGTCATGGGGCTAAAATGGGCAGAGAACAATAGAGGGTACAGCCTCCCCAACCAAGTGCTCTCGGCTCTGGGAACTGGGCAAGCAGGGTCCTCAGGGCTGGTGGTAGCAGTCCACAATCCTGCCAGCAGCAGGCCACAGCCTTGCCTCTTTTGCTGAATGTGTGTAGCTCGATGTACTTAGGCATGGAGTGGCTACGCCATATGAACTCACACACTTAGGCGTGTGTATGTGTGTGCATGTGTGGGTGTGCACACATGTGCACATATATGCACACATCCTCACATGCTCATGGGTATATACAATTGGCCCAGATTTTATATTTTTTATATATGTCTTCTGGAATCTAGTAAGTATCCCTGGACAAAGTCTAGTACACTAAGGTCTCCAGGCCCTGGCACACCCTCTTTCACCTGGCCTCTGCTCACCTCTGCCCCAATTTCCTCTGCCACTGTCCCCATCTCTCCAGGATCCAGCCTTATGAGAACCCACACAAGCTCCCTCCTGGCTTGGGCCTTTGCTGTTTCCTCTGCCTGGAAAGCCCTCTTCCTTCTCAGTCCTTCCACTTCCTTCTCATGTCTCTCCTTGTCCTGAGAACCCTCCATGGCCCCAGCCAGAAGAGGTTCCCTTGTGTCCCTTCCCTTGCTTATCACTCTGCTGCACTTGTACCTACATGGACTTTAGAGCAATGCTGCCTGACAGCTGGGCCCTGGGTGCCTTGCTGGCTTCCAGACCAGCCCTGACACATGACTCAGCTGTGGAACTTCTGGGCTCCCAGGAGGCCAGGCCACATGGTAGACCCTGAGTCTGTTCCCCACTACTGCACCCTCACTCCCTGGACAGTGCCCAGAGGTCAGATCCATTAATACACGTAACCTGCAGTATGTTCACCATGGAGCACAGCCTGCGCTGGCTCTGAGTGAGGTTAAGAGGAAGAGGAATAAAAGAGCAGGGAAGGGTCAGGCTATGCAGGCAGTGCAGGCACAGACAAAGGTCTCCAGGGCATCAAATTTTACTAAGCTGAGTTTGTGGAATAGCTCTTACCACCACTGGCTGAGTAGGCCCTGTTTTCCTTCTTCTGTGGAAGTGCGTTTCAGCCCAGTCATTGGAAGGTGTAGCAATGGACTTGTAAGGTCTCCCCTCTCCCATCATGCAGAGACAAACTGTGAACCCCAGGTTCCACCTGATTCCACCTCAAAGAGAGCTGCTGTGTTGTGTTTGCCTCACCTCGACTGTCCCTGCCAGGGACCAGGAGCTCCTCGGTGGTGTCAGGACACTGCTGGTTTGTTTTGCAGGTGTCTCTGGATCCCACCGTGCCCAGATGGACCCTAAAACTGATGGCAGGAAGGATGGTGGAGATGTGGAGTCAGGTCGGGGCTCCCCTTGTCCTGGGCACTACCTTCCCATTCCGTTTCCCCACTCTGCTCCAGGCTGGACTTGGGTACTTCCTCCTAAGTCGCTAATTTGATGAGCTCTGGCTGCCACAGCAAAATATATAAACTGGGTGCATAAAACAAGAGAAATTAATTTTCTCAGTTTCAGTCCACGGTCAGGGTGCCAGCTTCATTGGGTCTGGCACGGTCTCTCTTCCTGCAGACAGCCACCTTCTCACTGCGAGCTCACGTGACAGAGACAGGGAGGGACCAAGGCCTCCGGTGATAGGGTGCTGATCCCATCAAAGAGTCCTTGCTCATGGCCTTGTCCAAACCTAGTTACCTCTTACAGGTGCCAGCGCCACAGACCCTCATGGTGGGGTCGGGGAGGGCTTCGGCATAGGTGTTTATGGATATGATTCGGATCGTAGCAATGGCTGTCATGAGGGGCCTCCTCCAGGGCTTCCGTGCAACCTAAAGGGAATGTTGGGCCTTTTTCTGAAAAGTTGTGAAGTCATGGCTTGACTGCTGAAGGGGTTATTGGTAAGGCTCCTATGTTGACTGTGTCCTGGAGGCCTCCTCACAGCCACCATTTGTTCTTGGAAGGATTAGAAAGCACCTTGGGAGTTGGCAAACCCATGAGTGGGTTAAAATGGGGTGAGGTACATGCTCTGCCATGAGGCTCTCTGTGCCCCCCACGTGGGGTACAGTACACTCAGATGCTGCACCTGCTATTGGTTGGGATCCTAAGGAGCTCCCATGTGGCAGGGAAGTTGGGCTCACTGTGAAGTGATGGCAGAATGGGAAAATGTCACTGTAGGCGTCTCCATCAGTCAGACTGATTTTCCTTGGCAACACATGCATGGTATTCACTTTGTTCCAGACTATTCTGAATGTTTGGAAGATATATGTTCCCAGTGCTTACATCAGGAGGCACTGTCAAATTCCTTTCATAAAATGGGGAAACCCAAGGACAAAGAGATTAGATGACACATCCAAGGTCACAAATGTGGGTACTGGGGATGCTCCTTAGAATCCACGAGCCCGGGGCCCCAACTATGCAGACCCTGCAAGAGTGGGCTGGGGGTGCTCATTGGAGCCTCTGACCTAAGGTCTGGGGACACTGTTTTGTGAAGCCTGATGGTGCACCTGGACATCCCCTCATGTGGCTGTCACAATAGGTGAGAGTCAGGGATGCAGGCACCATGGCCTGATGTGAGCCCAGGCTGTGTCAAGGACCAGAGCCGTGTCCTGGGTCTCCTAGTATCAATTCTTCTGTTTCTTGGTGCACCTGAAGCTGGGAGCTCCGGCTCTGTGGCTGGTGTGGCCTTGGCCCCTCATGCCTCTGAGTCCTGCAGAATGGATGAGGCCTGGTGGCTTCTGTGACGTGGCACAATGCAGATAAGCCAGGCTCACGTGGGAGGTCGTGTGCCAACAGTCAGGCTGCTAGAACATTTCTTCCTGTTCTGATGGCTGTGAGGAAGACACGGAGTGACGCAGCGCTGTGTCCTCACTATGTGTGACACATGGTCACTGAAGAATGAACAAATGAAAGAACTAACCATAACAGCCAAAGGAAGATGACTGATCTGAAAACCAAGGCTCAGAGAAGCGGTTCAGCATGGTGGAGCTAAGAGGACTCAGAGCCAGGGCTGAGGCATGGTCTGCTGACTCCCAACCGGCCCATTGGACCATCAGACAATGTCAGGGAAGACTCTTTACCTGTCTGAACCTCAGTTTCTCATTTATAAAACTGTCAGGGATGATGTGCACAAAGGCTGTCATACCACGACATGGTGACTGTGGCATCTGGCCTGCCCATTTTCACATACATGCATACTTTTAGCTCATGCCAAGTAGACTGTATGGCCAGGGATGCAAGTCCCTGTCCAGCCAGGCAGGAGAAGGCTGGATTCCAGCTGAGGACCACCCTCCTCTCTCCGCCAGGCAGCACTGCTTCATTCAGTGCAGGCTGGAGCTCTGAGCATGGTGGTGTGAGAGGAGAAAAACAACCAGATGAGACCCAGGTCCTTCCCCTGTGAGCCTTCTAACTTAGTTGGTGGTTTGTGATGAATTATTGATCTTATGAAGCTCCAAAACTGCTGAATCAGGGTGCGGAAACCTGCTGCTCTGCCGCCAGCCTCGGGGGTTTGAAGTTGAAACCGTGAGGCACAGATCCCACTGCAAATTCGGTTTTGCTCTGCACACACCAGGTCTGCCATGAATTATCTATTTAGCTTCACTGAAGGGACGTGACAGGATTCCTAATATCTAGACCAGAGCTTGTATGTTCGCTTGTCAGCTGGCAGAGTCCTTTCTTCCCTGCCAACCCGAACTTCACTAGCTAGTCACATGGTGAGCACAGCCCCAAATCCCAGGTCCCATCAATAGACAGATGTATGGAAGAACATTCCCACATTCACCTGCAGACACTCCATATTCCAGGGGATGCAGGACCCATGGAGCTGGCTGCCAGCTGATGGGGTATGTGGCTGAGAGCTCAGAAACTGACTGATGCCGTCAGAACAGGGACAAGCAAGTTCTTGGGCCTCTCAGCTGCCCCTTTCCAAGCCTCCTCTCACCTCTGTCCTTGGGCTTAAAGACCTTGGAATTCCATCTGTCTTCATGTTCCACCTGAGCTAACCTCAAGAACCCCTGTTTGCTAGTAACAGGTTAGAAGGACTCTCTCTAATCCCATTCCTGCCAACAATGGTATAACTGACTCCGATTTCATACAGCACCCTCATAAAGGGACTGGAAGACAAATAGGCTAAAGCTCCTCCTCCTTTCACTCAGCCATTTCTCATCTGTCCACCTCTTCCTTTATCCATCTTTCCATCCATCTATCCATCCATCCATCCATCCATCCACTTCTCCATGTATTCATCTATTTCTCCATCCATCCATTTTTCCACTGTCAGTTTATCATCCATCCATCTTTCCATCCATCCACTTCCCCATCTACCCACCCACTCACCGACCTATTCTATAAACATTTATTGAGTCACTAAGACAAGAAAATGACAGAAAGTTTCCATGGTGAGGTGACTTTGTCCCTGAGACGCTGAGCTGTGTTTCAATGAAACTTTATTTATACTGATAGCTGTAGGGTTGAATTTGTCCCTTGAGCTGTCATGTACCAGCTTCTGTAATGTGGTGTGCACATTCTACTTGGGGAACATTGAGAGAGGGTGTGTGGAAGGAGGGGATTTGGAGGAAGAAGTAAGGGAAGGACAGAATGAGAAGGTATCAAGGATGTTGAGTGTGAAGTCTGTGTGGATGTCCTTGTGGAGCTGTCCAATTGAGGTATGGTGGAATTCTGGCTCTGGATGTGATCGTAGGGAGCCTTGGAAGCTAGGAGGTGATTAGACATCACCACTGGCTCGGGGATGGATGAAGCTGTGCCTTGAGCATTCACCAGGGAAACAGAGAGCTGTGGTTTGAAGAGGGATGTGTTTAAGGGGACACAGTGAGTAAGGACCACCCTTTCTTTAAAGGATACAATGAAGGACGAACAGAGTTGAAGGACATTTGTGGGTTGGGAGGGAGACCAGGGCAAGAGACATGGTAAAAGTGCAGAAAAGCAGGAACAATTGTCCAAATGAAGACCCAGGGGAGTCAAAATCAGGGAGGTATCCAGGATCCAGGAGGTGGAAGGGTGCACCCCAAAGAACAAATCTGCAAGAGAGGGTGGGAAGGCCTCTGGAGTGGTTCTTGATATACTACCTAGGATAGCTACCACCAAAATTGTCACAGTTCCCTCCCAAGAATTAGCTGGAGTCAATGAAGGTAGTGTCTCTGCCCTCAGCTTGTCTGCCATTTCTGTACCTATACAGTTGGGACCTGCCTCCATAACAGAGGCAGAGCTAGATGCAGCTTAGAGAACACCCATACTCTCTGGAAATTCATGGTATTGACCATCTCTTTCCCTGCTTTCTCCCAGAAGCTTCATGGTATTGATGCACTGGAAGGTGACACCACCCACCAGCCTCGTGTCTACAGCCAGGAGGGAGAGTGTGAAGGAGCCAAGACCCTCAGTTCTCACACCTTCTCTGAGGAGGAGCTGCCTGCTGACTTGCTGGATGGTTTGGGCTCAAAAGCTACTCCTCATGAAGAAATGTATTTCAAGTCAGGAATTCCTTCCTGAAAAAAACAAAACACAAAAACATGTTTTAGAGAACTGGAGTGATCGGTGGAGGACCGTCACTCTTCAGGGATTTTTTCCTCTATCCATTGTTTTAATTACTTCACAACTCTAGGGAAAGGGTCAACTATTAATCTAGATTCAGGGCTGTGATGCTCTCAGATCAGCCATCTTGAACTGAAGTAGGACAGCAGGCTGTGCTGTTTACAAATTTCATTTGTCCCATTTTGTAGAGGAACCCGAACGTCATTGTGTGTTCTTTGTGTCTTAGCAACTTCACTCTGAGGGCAAATGAAAATGCAATCCACAAATTACCAAGTGATTTGTCAGCAGCAGGTAACACTGGGGAAAGTGAAAATAGACTTAAAAAAAATTATCTGTTAGTAATTATGATTCTGCCTCAATTTAGGTACAAAATAAGATTAAGTGGGGAAATATTTTCTAGAACATTTATAATTAATATTTTAGTGATTTTAGAGAGATAAAAATTGACCCTTTTTCACTTTTCGATTAGCTAGATAAAATGGATTATCTTGAGAGAAATAATGCTTTGCCTCAGCCTGCATGGGTATGCTGCGTGAACCTGACTAAGAGCAGTGGGGAACGAGACACACACAGACATCAAACAGAAAAGTGGGATTGGGAGGGCTACACATTCCTGGTGGAATTACCTGAGCCAGAGTGTTTATTTTATTAGGTAAAGGCTCAGGTAAAATTCAAGCTTTAACAATTCTTGATGCAAGGTAAAAGGAATGAGGTCTGGTGGGCTAATTTTCCTAAGGCTACTGAAGCTTAATTACAACTCATCAGTTCTGGAACCATCAAGGCACGCAGGGCACCTTATCTAAGGTATTGATGAATCTGGCATCAGGGAGTCTCCTAACAGTTCTGGTGCTTTATCTAGTTTTGCATCGGGAGCTGGTATGTGGACACAGCAGGTTGTATTCTTCAAGGAGATGGGAGAACAAGGTCAAGACACCAGGTGCTGGGAAGAATATGGTAGAAGAGGCTGTGCAAACTCCATTACATCCCAGTCAGGGCTCATGCCTGCTCCCCAACAATGCTTAAAACTTTAGAGCAGTGAATGCTTTGAAAACCTAGAGAATTGACATGATTACCTTGTGTGGGTCATTGAGTAAGGGCATTAGAAAGTCTGAGTAGGTTCTGGTTAGATTTCAGCTTAACTGGAAACCAACCTTTCCTAGGTTGCTCCTTGTCCACTTACTATTAGGGTGAGTTTTGGGGTGGGGCAGGGAGAAGGTTTCTCTGAAAACTTCAGGTGGTGGACATGTAGCCTAGTAGTAGACAATTGACTAACAGAAGTTTAACATGCTACCACGACACTGTAATGTATATGTCACATACCTAAAATTTCTAAAGAAATCATATAATTATTGAGCATAATCTTTTTGCAAATGCTTTCTCATATGTCCTTAGGATAAGTGAAGAGGAACATGTGTTTTCTGTTGAAGTATTATAATGCCTGAATGTGCTTGAGGCCCTGGGTTCAATCTCCAGCACTACAAGAAGAAAAGTAATAATAATATTGTTATTTTAATTATAAAATAATCAGAAATAATAAATCAATACAATAAAGTAAGTTTTGATTGATTTTAATTACTTAATTAGCAATAGTAAACACTACTGTATTGATAATATCTTATTAGCTCAGAGTTAAAACTTTCCCTTTCTGAAGAAGCTGTGCAAATATTTACTTTGAAGAGCTCCCACTGTTCACACACAGCTGTTTCCCCCAGTGCCTAGTGTTTTGGATAACTGACAAAGAGGGAATGACATCTCCAAGGCAGTGGCATGTCTGAGTGTGTTGAACAGCTGCGCGAATATTGGGATGATTCAGTGGAGAGTCTAGGATATTTTCTGGGTAGTTCAGAAAGAAAGCAATTGTTTAGGAAAATACACTTTAGAGTCTGAATTGTGGGCCAGTATCGTCACTAAGTGGTTATTAGATTTTCTTGGATCTAAACCAAGGGTCAGAAAACTAGTGCCATGGGGCAAATCTGGCTCACCATCTGTCCTTATAAATAAAGTTTTATTGGCACACAGCCATGCTCATTTGTTTAGGTGTTGTCTATGGCTGCTTGGGGCCCTAGCTGCAGATTTCAGCGGTTGCAGTGGAGACCACCTGACATCCAGGTGTCTCCTGGCCCTTCATACGAAAGTATGCTTCACCCTTCCTCTAAGGTTTTCTTTCTGGAAACATACTATGAAGTACCACACCCTATGTAAAGAGCAAGCTGTTGCAGACGCAGTCTGAAAGGTTTTCAGTAAGTTTGCTTTTGGCTGTAGTTAGTTCACTTAATTTACTGCAAGTTGTAGAATCTTGGCAGTTGTCATGCATTTTGTGAATTCTTGCATTATAAGATGCTTTCCAACAAATTGGTTTCAACTGTAATAAAAAAATCCCCTGCGATATTCATGAATGCCAAATTCAACAATTAACAAGAGGACAAAGCATTAAATTTTGTAGATATTTAATTAGACATTTATTATTTTTGATTTTTGCTGCTTTTTAATGTATTTTGAAGGCAATGAAGTTTTTTTTTCTGGATCGTGACCATTTTCCTAGGCCTTAATTTAAGCCTTGGGATTCTGACGTCCAGTGGAGAATCTGGCCCTGCTGGGGTCTGCACAGAGCACCTCAGCTCATGACACTGGAAACTTCCCCTGCTGATGTCCGCTGATACTGCGTGTTGTCACCTTCCCCAGCTGAGGTCTGCAAGGGACGTCCCTGAACGTCAGCCGGCAGCTTCTCCCCACAGGTTCATTCTCAAATGACATTAGAAATGTCAACACCAGGAGGTTTTGGTGAACTTCGTCTGCCTCCAGTGGAATTTACAAATACTCATGAATTAATCCACTTTTGCTAATGGCAATGAAGAAGGAAATAAAACAGAAATAGTAAATATTTTCAGGGAAAATGTGCTTTCATTAAGAACATTAGCTCCCAAATTATTTAGCAATCTAAAGATAGCTACAGTCTCTGGACTTGGCATTTATTTTGCATTTCATCGGTTTGGTTTTTCCACTTGCAATAACAATTGTGCTGGGGCTTCCAAGCTCGGGTGCTTGCTTTACTTATTTTTATGATTAATTAAACACGGAAGATATCCAAGTTCTTAAAGCTTTCCTTTCCCGAGACCTCATTTTGTGTATCTGTGAAGGAGAAGTAGCAACAGCTCCTTTGAAGATAATACAGGCCCACTGCGGGTTCTGAGGTGGTTTTCCCTTGCTGGGGAACTTCTATGTGAAAGAGCCCGCACACCAAGTCCAGCCACCATCTCCTCTGAAATGTGAGAGTCAGAGGTCAGATAAATCTGCCATAAAGAAAGAGGATAAAGATCCTGGAGGGTCAGGTGCACATCTGAAATCCCAGCATTGGAGAGCTGAGGTACAGGATTGTGAATACGAGGTCAGACTCAGTGACGCAGCAAGACCTATCTCTAAAATCAAAGTAAGAGTTCTGGAGTATGAAACAAAATCCTTTAGCTTTTCCCCACACAAGGACACTAGAACTGAGATGTGATGCATGTGTGAGATTGCAGAGACCACAGATTGCACTAATATGTTCTCTCTTCTTCATTAGGAAAAGAACCTTGAATTTCACCATACACCTGCCTTTCAGGAGGGCTGTGACATTTTCCATCATGGTCTGCATGGAGGTGTAGCCATATGACTACATTCTGGCCAGTTGAAGGCAACTTACAGGATGGAGATGTGTCTATACCCTCTCTTCTTCTCTTGGAGGGAGTAGAATGTGATAGTTGGAGTTGGGGCAGCCATCCTAGACATTGCCATTAGAGCCATGTGTCAGCTCGAATGGCAATAGACTTGGAGGGGTAGAAGTCCCTGACCCTCTGGATCTCAGTCCATCCCATACCAACTTACTACAGACTCAAAATGATGGTGAATTAAATATAACCATTGATACTTTGTATTTTCTGTCACTTATGGCCAAATCTAATCCTACCTGATACAAAGTACAGAGCTGAGAGAAGTGAGCTAGAGTACCAGATCTTAAGCATGTAGCATTGGCCTAATGAATGTGTCCAGGTGGCAAGGACTCAAATATTGTGGGCAAGAGAGCTGGTGACCCTTGCTGCACAAAAATAACACCTTTGATAAAAATGGTCCCCCATTGTCTTTGAAAAGCAGCCCATGTTCTGGATAGGAGTGCAGTCGGAAGTGGCAAGAAAAATTCATAACTCGTGCATTAGTGGCTGCGTCTCGCTGCTTTTACTACAGAACCACTAGAGACAGAGATATGGACTTTGGCTACTGCTGGCCAGTGGAGGAATGAGAGTGAAAGGGACACAGCTGTGCTAATGGAGTCACTCGGCCTGCGTTCCACACTCCACATCCACAGAAATTTGGCAATTTGGAGCTTGAAAGGATTGAAAACAGCAACCGCTGTGTCTCTCAAACGACATCAGTCATAAAAGTGGTCTCTGCAAAGCAGCGGACTTAGTGGGAAATAGAACGAGCACTCTCGCCACCAACTTGGAACCTGAGTCGGAAGTCACTTTAAAGCTGTTGCCTTCCCCGCCATACGCACTACTTAGGATGACTCAAGATGGGCACCTTGGTGCAGAGACAGGAGGTGTGGACAGGACCAGGACAAGGCAAGAATCTTCAGTGTTATCATGAAGGATGTCTTCATAGACTAGAAGCCTTCAAGGTTTTACCAACGATACCACAGGCCTGGGCTGCAGAGGTGTGCAATGGTTCAATCCCAAAGAATCCAAGAATCCTGGGAAGCCACAAAGATCCTCTGGTGGAGTCAGAGAGAGACAATGGAAAAGAGGCAACAAAGGCAGAGGAGACCAAAGGTGCTTCAGAAAGATGGGAAGTAGGAAGCCGCCATATTCCATGTGGGGCTTGGAAAGGGCCATTCCTGGCTGCGGAGCATAGGGACTTGAATCTGGGAAGGGCCCGGCAGGCTGGCAGTCACATTGGCACAGGAACCTGAGTCTTCAAAACCAGAG